ATATATATATATACACACACACACACACACACACACACAAACACACCCATATATGGAATAAAATCTCTAGAAAAATTCTCATAAGTTAAAAAGGATGTTACTAACAAGAGTATAAAAACGAAACAACACCAGGTCTCCAATTTTATAAATCACTATACGTGTGGGGAGAAAAATACTGCATTAAATAAAACAAGTGATGAAACGATATCCACGGCAAAAAAATAAATACATAAGAATTTTTAGTCATATCAAAAAAGGGCCGCCATAACCTTTAAAAAACTTGATCGTAGACCCCCGTAAGGTAAACTTCATTTTCTCAAGCCTACTGAAATGAACATCTCTGATCCAAGTCTCATACAGTGGAGGAGAAGTTGTTGTTTTTTTGGTGACATTTGTAGGAAAGAACTCTGATGTCAGTGGGGTTAAAAACAACAACCTTGAGCTGAAGCGGATCAAAAATATACCAGAATTAGTGGTGGAGTGGTGGCCTAATGGTTAGAGCATTTTTCTTGAGTGTTGGAGGTTCTGATTTCAAGCCCCACTCCCACGGACTGCCTCTGTGGGTCCCTGAGCAAGATCCTTAACCCCACACTGCTCCCTGAGCGCCACACAGTGGCAGCCCACTGCTCCCCATGGGGATGGGTTAAATGCAGAGGTGAATTTTTCCAGTGTGAGAACAATAATTTTCAGTAAAAAAAAAAAAAAAAAAAAAAAAGAATGCTGCCAGAATTTTAGACTTTAAATTGCAGAGTTTGTCATTTGGTTTGGATCATTGGCAAAAATGGCATATCATAGAAAGACCTGACTTTTGAATAAAACTCTTCTTTTTCCTTTTCTTTTCCTAGGCTTTGTTATTGTGACACTTTTTTCTTGATATATAACCTTCAGATTTTCAGTGTTAGATTACAGCAGAAGCACTAACATACAAGTTATATATTTGAAGGCTTTTAAAATCCTTTAATGGAGGTGTCAATAAATGTGGAAGGCATCATACAGCCCACCTTCCTCTGCTCCTCAGACTATCGCTAAAGATAACCGAAGCTCTATTTGAAATACCGGCTGGGACGCACGCCACAAAAATCCACAAAGAGTTTCTCTGTTCTTCCAACATGTGGTGCAATGCGTCAAGCCCACTCACATTGTGCGTAAGCCTTGGAAATCAGGGCATTTTTTTTAACTTTAAGATTCAACAAGTGAGCTTTGCTACTTTATCTTTCTTTGAAATACTTTTGGTAAAATGTTTCTAATTGTTTTTCTTCGGTTACAATTGGTGGCCTCAGCGTACCATATCAAAGCGGTCACAGCTAGTTCACACCGAGGCCTTTAATGTTATCATGGTCACACACTTTGTGCCAAAAATTCAAAAAATGTTTCAAGCAATCCTTCTTAAGGTTTATAAATTATTAGGAGCCATTGTGAGGATTTAGAAAGAAGTGACAGATAATAGCTCTCATACAAATATTCAACATCCTTACTTTGTTCACCTCACAAAGAGCGGGAGAAGGGGATCAAGGAACAACAAAAACAAATAATCCTTTTATCATTTTTTTTTTCATTTTAACACTGAAGTCCATACTTGATAAAAAATCTGATATTTTCACAGCCTTGTAGGTGGTATAATAAAGTGTAAAGATCTTTTCTGTGCCCACAAGCTAAAGCCAACAAATGTCAGTGGGTGAATTACCTGGAAACTATTATTGCAACACCATTGTGAGCCTGTTCAGACAAGGATATCCGTGAAATGAAGCAAAAACGTCATCTCTGCAGGGAAAAACTCATTCATAGCTCATTCATAGCAACAGAAAAAAGTCACGCTTGACACAATAGTTGGTCAGAACTGTAGTTTTAATGTGTCACAGTTAGTAAAGCATCAGTGAGAACACGTCCCCTGAAGTCTACACCAGATCTCAGAAAAATAAAATAAAAAAAATTCTCTATGTTTTGTCTAATTACATTCGTTTTTGCCTCTTTTATCAGTTAAGATGAAATTCAGTGCTACCCCTGCTCATAAATACATACAAATACACCTGAAATTTTAAAACAAAACCGCTACAGTCATGGTCATGTTTTAACAGAATCAGTAGTTACACGTGGACCGAGTTAATGTGGACTTTGATTGGTGCTGAATTTCACATTTCTGATCTACTGAGGGTGGAGAGAGGTCAACATCTTACAGTCAGTCGGCTGGGACGCTTATTTCACCCATAAACATCCAGCTCTGTCTGAATCAGAACTAAAATGAGCTTTGGAGGTTTGTAAGCTGATATAATCATTTCTGACTCAACCAGGGTGGCTGTTTTATTCCGTCCGCAGCACTGACGCTAAGCTATGCTTGCAGCCTGCAACGTTACACACATCACTTCACGGTTCAACTCCCGAAAGAAACCTGATGTATATGTAATAAAAGCTGTGAAATAGCCCTTGATCACATTTCCAAGTATGGTAACCAATTAAGCATCGTGTTGATTTGTGATTTAGAGAATGCAGAGATGGTAAAACAGAGAGATTGTTTGGCTCTTTAATGTTAGAAATTTGAGGCACATCTGTTGTTTAAGAACAGTGACTGCCCACAATGTTTTGCTGCAATTTTAGAGTTTTTTTTTTATTTCTCTAAAGTCCAGTTCTCGTATCATCCAGAAAGAAATAGTTAACAGGGACTAACCCCATTAATTTTTTCTTCCATTTGTAAGATGCTGTTGCTGCTCAGCTGCTGAGCTGCTTACTGTCAAGGTTCATTGGAGTATGAAGTACTATTTTTAGCTATTCAATAGTCAAAATGTCTGCTGGAAATCATGTCTCTTGCAGGACAAAGGGATCCCACTACAGTACAGATAGCCATTAGGAAAAAAAGTTGTTTTTTTTTCTAATATTTTCCTCTTCTGGTTGTCCACAATTTCTTAGGAAAAATCATGTATATCTCTGATGTTATTACAGAAATGTAGAAATATTATTATTAATAATATTTTTTATGCCTGTTAGAAATGCAACCCAGTGTTGTAGTAAAATTAGTCACCTGAGTTTATAGCACTTATATTTAGAGTATGATTGTTTTCTAACCTAACATGAACCATTGCAGAACTTATGAACTTATTGAGTCAATATCTGGCTTTGTTGAAAATGCATCTTGGCAGCCAGAAGAAAAGTGAAAATAAATATTTTAACCATATGCATGTCTTGTAATATACAATACAATATTTCTAATGAACAAAAGCTACTTTCAACACAGTGTGAAAGAAGAATCGGTCAATTGTTAAACTTCTCCAATGCAAGACTATTTTTTTTTTATCCTGCTCTTGAAAATAGTGGCTCTTCTTTCACATTGTGACCCCAGCTCTTCTGAACGCTAACATGAGCAGAAGCAGCAACACTGAGCTTTGGTTGTGATGAGATGGTTCAACATTTCAAACTGAGCCCTGCATCCATCTGCAATCGTACGGCTAATCTGCAGGAAATAAAATACGACCTAACTGAGAATACAAATTTGGATCAAGCAACAGGAAGGTAGAGTAAAAACAAAAGAGAAACAGATGTATCATCCTGCAATTACACAATAAAAAAAGACATAATTACTCCATTATTTTTATTGTCCCTTAAACTGATGTTAAGATGTGCTTTAAAACTTACGAGTCATTTAAAACGTAGGAGTTGTTACTCTTTGGACCTTTGCTGTGCAAAAAATCGCTGAATTGTTCTGACTGCATGTCTGTCTGCACTGAGATTTTCACTAGAAATTAATCGATTGTAAAATGTGAGGTAAGCCTAATGTAAAGATATAGGAATACACAGTAACCTTCTGTTAGAGCTATAGGAATTCAAATATTCAAAACCGCCGGTGCAAATACTAGAAGGGAAAAGGGAATACTGTCTGCAGCTATGGCTTATTTGGTGTGAGGTGAGTGCTGGTCTACTCTAAATAAGAATAATACAGAGAACTCTAGCTGCATAACCTAACGGGCTACAGTGAGAATCTGGTGTTGGTTTCCTAAATATCAATCCATCCTGATCTTCCTTGGTGCTGCGTGCTCCAACGATGCTGTTCCATTGGCATGGCCGTTTACTGATGCAGAGGAACCATTCTGATGCTCTTTCTTTCGAGAATCGTTGCGCTTCTTGTAAGTCTGATGTGGGGAAAAAGAAACATCATTGTTAATGTAGAGAAATGATCAGCTCTCTGTGTCAAAGTTATTTTAACAACAAAGGTTAATTCTCAATTGCTTTAAAGATATTTCTCTTCAGGCATGAAGACAAGAGGACAAGACACCTTTTCAAGCATCTGCATCTAGCGTCTACCAAGCTACAAACAGATTACCCAGCTAGAAACCTTTCCCTAAAAAGGCTCTGGAAGGAAATTAAGACAAACACTTAAAAATAGAAATATTAAAGGAGCACATTAGTCAGAAAAACGGATGCGATTTATTAAATGCATGGCTTTTCTTCCATATTTTATCTAAATTTGTTCTCAGGGATGTTTGCTTCATAATCATAACAATTAAAGTGGTATGTATAACCTATATCTATATCCTCAGCAGGCTTAGTGCATTAAAGCAGGAAAGGTGTGGATCTTTTCAATAGTTGCACTGAAAGGGAAAACCGATCTTACCTGAATGTAGAAATTTGAGAAAAGGACAGTAAATGACAACATGTAGCTGATTTGGAAGTACAACCATCTCATGGGGAAGCCACATGGCCATACCACTGCAAGTGCTGTTTGTAACATGGTTAAACAGAACTGGATCTGTGGAGAGAAAAGAACAAGATGCCAATGGAGGAGCTTGTAGAATAAAAAAGAATCAATAGGTTCCTGAATAGAAAAACAAATGAGATATTTGCAAGGAGAAACAGGCAAAGTTTCCACAGATGTGTATATCCACTGAAGTGACTCTTTTGGACCCAAAGGGCATGCTAGTGCTCGATACAGTTGGGAGAACATACTATATATGGATTTTTTTCTTTCCACCCCTTCCTTCTACAAGTCTATGCATGCCACAGTGCAAAAGACACATATAGAGAAAAGGGGAAAAAAAACTTCAATAAACTTCATCAAGAACACAACTATTTACATACAAATATCCAAGACAGAGTCATCAAAAGATGTCAAACAATGCTTTAAAATACCACAAACAAGAAATTATCTTATAATAATCAGTTTTCATTTTCAAAGCATCACATTCAGGAGTCACATTCTCTAAGAAGATTAACAAGCATTTCATTGAAACACCATAACTAATATTAGGCACAACATAAACTATCTCAGTTCGGTTTAAAAAGAACAGAATAGCAGAGCAGCTTACATCAGCAAAATAAAACAAGGCCACTATTAATACACAAAACTCTAGTTTATTTTGTTTATAAACTTGTATAGTTTTTTACAGTGAACAAAATGGTGAACAACTCTAAAAACTTGTTGGATTGGACTCAAAATTAAACAATGCCAGATGTGGGATTTTACCGTTCAGTATTAAAGGGAATCCCTAGTAAAAATCCAAATCCTCTTATAATGACTTAAAGGTATAGAGGACGATCTTTGATTTAGGGTTGGATCATCAAAATAAGTTGTCCTCCTAATTGTCAATCATTCTATTGATATTTTAATGTAGGACCATCCTAATGTCCTCGTCCCCAGTTAGCTATCTTTTTCTACGCATGATCACTTTCAGGCATATATCTGTGGTGAGCTACCAATATAACCAATATGTACCGTAAGAGAAAACGCGTCTACGAAGTGTATAAGAAGAAAAGAAAGGCCTCAGAAGAGGCAGATATATCCCAGAATACTGTGCATGGAGAGCTCTCCTCGCAAAGCATTATGGGATTTGCTGTCACATCGGCCAGCTGTCGCCATAATCATAATAACAAAGATGGTACAGGTACCGCTCAGTGGAGGAGGAGTTAGGTGACCAACAGGGAGCAAAAAGACGCTGATCATCTGTCCGATCGGTTGGTTAACTGAGTTCAATAAAAAGTCACTATAAAGTCCCCGCTCTTTATAGTGATTGAGGGATTTAGGGGATATGGTGGATGTTCGAACACAGTAAGCTTGTATGAGCTATGAGAACAGCAACTTTTAAATAGAGCATGCATGAGGATGAAATGGGCTTTTGCATGCTCTCACACGTGTGTAGAGGGCGGGTCTTTTAAAAAATTCACAATACCTTTAATTGGAGGAAAACTGAGATATTAGATTGGACTGTCTGTAGACTCAAATCTACAATTAAACTGTCAGAGAAAAGAATAAAAAAAAAATTCCTTCACAAATTGAAAGGTTTGATTAACCTTTTCAAGGTAGAGTTGACAACTATTGTCAAATCAAGCTGATATAGCCAAACCAATTAGTGAAAGGGTTAACAACAGTTACCATCATTTTCCTTTTTACTCTCAACTAATTTTTTTTAGTTTATATTTGTCCATCCATCCATCCATTTTCTGATACGCTTTATCCCAAGCGGGGTCGCGAGGGTTGATGGCGCCTATCTCCAGCTGTCTACGGGTGAGAGGCGGGGTACACCCTGGACAGGTCGCCAGTCCATCACAGGGCGTTTATATTTGTCACATCACAAAAACTTTGCGGGTGTTACTGCAGATATTTTCACTTATGAGAGCAGTTCTATGTTTTTGCTCTGTTATTCTGTGTCACATTTAAGAAAATACATTGACTGTATCAAGTTAACCTACCAGCTGCAGCTGAGTGATATACTTCTTCCACCAGAGGTATGGTCTTAGGGCTGGAATGGCTGCAAGGCCGTAGTAGGAATACATCACAACATGGACAAAGCTGTTCAAGGAGGCCCCAAAATATGCTGAGGAGAAAGAAAGTTATTTATTTGCAGCTAGCACTACAAAGAAACATAACGTACAAAGAAACATGCAGTACATCTGAGGGATTATCTGGGTAAAAACATGAGAAATATATTGCCAATGCACAAAAATATTTTTCTCAAAGAGCAGCAGTTTCCAGGTGAGTGTACCCTTCGCTAGACAAAAAACTAGTCGTTTTCAGACGTGACTTTAACGTAGCAATGCCTGAATTATTTAGCTCTCTGCAAGGGAGAGTGGGAGAAATGGATTCTGGAAACATTGGAGGCAGTGGAGTGTGAATCTGAGTGAAACACTCACAGTGGCCGCAGGGTATCCAATTCATGACGAACCACCAGATGTTCAGCATGCTGGCGTGGTGGTAGACATGGAGAAAAGTGATCTGGTGATTGTTTTTCCGCAGAATAAAGAAAAAAGTGTCTATGAATTCGATTAGCTTGGAGAAGTAGTACCACCACAGGACACTGATGACCTGGGAATGAAAGGCACAATACAATGTCACAAAACAAGTGAGCGATAGATCTGCAGGTAAATTTGAACGGTTTAGAGTTAAAATAGATAAGTGCAAGCTTTTAAATAAAGATGCTTAAAAAACTCTACATGCATGCAACAGAATATTAATCATACAAAATGATAGAAGGTCAGGCATCCAGTCTGAAATGCTCATGAGCAGGTTAGCTATCAGCAGCAGGGCTGCACTGATAACATGCTGCAGACCAACAAAATTATGTTTTATGTTTTTTAATATAAGCCCATAGTTTATATTGCCAATGGAAACCCAAAATATATTCACTCTGATGACATGAATATTATTTACGGATACCAATCAAGACAAATAAACTAAGTTAATCCTAAAAATATATTTGTTTTACCAGTATTATGTCTTACAGTAATGACAGCTTGAAGTGAGATGGAATAAAACATTAATGCAATAAAGAACAACAGAATGCAATAATAAATAATAAAGTTTGAGTAAAAATCAGACCTTTTTATCTACATCCGGTGCACTGTAAGTGTTCTGGCAGAGGAAGTTGTATCCACCGCGCCACACAGTTATAGCAAGCTGCAGACAAAGCCAACAAAATAAACCATTAATGAGTTAGTTGCCAAATCGGAGATGATAAAGTCAACAAAAACTGAGAGGAGTCCAACAAAAGCTGTTCCAGCCAGATGTTTCCGCTCCGTTTAGTAGTAACAAAACAAATAAACACATCGTTAGAGAGCAAGTTATCAGAACAGATAAGGTTTCATTCGTCTTGTGTAACATTTATAATTAGCATATCTAGCTGACAAGAACAGGTTGAAGTTGAAACAACGGGAACTTCAAGCCCATGAAGAAGATTCATCATCCAACCGAGAGACACTGGCAGCCACACTGCAATCCTAAAGGAAGTATTGCTTTAACATCAGTCAAAGGTGACAAGCAGTAGAAACTGATCACTGATAAATGTTAATTTTCAAGAAAAAAAAACATGGCGTATGGTAACCATACGCCATAAATGAACCTCATAGAAAGCCTGCTTCTTCCCCCCTAAACTGTGCCGCCTTTAAAGGAAAACATATCTGTGGGCTGAGCTGTACAATGGAGTATGATGGTTAAATGAAAAACTTGCCCAATCCTCTCTCTAATTTTTGAGAATATTTTTTCGCATAGAAACATTGACTGTCATCTTATTGAAGCCATTATCATTATTAAAGTAACACTGATTTAAAACTACTGCTGACAATTAGTTTGTTTACCATTGAAACGCAGGCTTTGTTTCAGCAAATAGCACCACTAATTACATTATAATAGCTTGTTTTGATTATGTTACAATAAAATAATTAAGGAAATTTAGAAGGATTTTCGTATACCGGTATGTTGGCTTAAGTTTATGAAGTAATATTGAGAATTAGAAAAAAGATGTTCTAGGTAATGTTCTAGTGAGCTAGGAGCAATATCTGTAACATGAAAGCCACCTATATTTACATTTAAAGGAAATGTTCTTAAAAGCACTATATAAAGATCACATTTTCTTGCCACAATGCTCAATGAGGACGGTGAGGTAGCCCAAAAAAATCCAATGGCAGTCTTTTTTGATACTGTGAAAGATAATCAGTTCATTTGAAGCATATTAGATTATAACAAAATAGATAAAGAAATGGCTTAATCCAAAACACTTTAGCTTTAAAAATACTTTCACTTTCCATGGATTACAAAGCACACTTATCAGAACTGACTGCTTTAGTGTTAACACAAATGACTGATTCTGTTTTTAACTTGAATTGTTTTATTATGTGCAAATAGACATTAACCACTCTGTAACAGTAACCAGCCAGCTTATTAAACACAATGTATTGCAGGCTGGATATTGACTTTAGCGCTGGCAGGTTGACAGGGGACAGCGAACTGATCTGCACTTTGATTCACATCAGGTGACATCAGGCTTGGCCCACTAAAACTTGAACCCGAGTCTGGGAGTTTAATGAATAAATGTCCAACTGTTCACTGGGACTTTATGCAACACAGAGGGCAGGACTGGAAGCTCCTTCTGCCAACAGGACCGGAAACTAAATCTTGGCTTTGATAAATCTGGATCTTGGGTTCTGGTCTTATATAAAGTGACAAATGCATATGATTACTGCTACATAACTTAGTTAGAAGATGCAAGCTTGTGTATTCTTATTTCACTGCTTCCATGTATTGCTTAAACTTTGCTAATAGATAAAAAAAAAATGCCTTTAGATAATTTTGGGATATTCTGACGTCAATCAAAGCATGCAAGGGATTTGATTAGTAAAACAGTCAGCCTATCGACGTCCTGTTGTGTACTTGTCATTTCCTGATAACATTGTCTTAAGGGACAAACCTCAGTAAAACAAACAAGCAAAGACCAAATTAAGGATGTGAAGATGCATTCCAGTCAGATTTAGTATGCAATGCTGTTATCTGTACATAAAACTACCTGCTGATTCGTGCAGAGCTAAACTAACAATCTCCTGACTTTTTGATCATTCTTTTTGAAGGGTTACTTGTATTTAAAATAAATAGGCTTAAATCAAGCTTTTTTTTAAGTAGTTGTTTAAATTAAATTATTTCATGAATGGGAGGAAAGGGCTCTCTAAATCAACCTGGATCTTTGTGAAATGCTAATTTTGCCATATACCAACTACACTATGCTGGTTGTGCTTTTCTTAGCGGCAGCGAATGCCATTAAACTTTTGTGACAACTGCTCTTTTACATGTCTGTGAAGCAATTTTTGCGATGTTTTCTTTGCAAAATTGTGTTAATTCAGTCCCCTTGTGCGTTGAGTTTTAATCACCAGCAATATGTTTGAGGTTGCATTTTAATCTGAACTTGGACTAGGACTCTACAAAACTATAATTTTGTTGTTTTAAGCTATTTAGAGGTAGACCTGCTGGTGTGCTTGCATGTTCTGGCGCATAACTCAAGTTACCTTCCACTTAAATTTAGGCATTAATGGCTGTAAGGTACTCTAAAGGAAGAACAGACTTAATGTTTAAAAATATAGTTGTCCAGGTTTTAAGGTACCAGAGCCGCACCAGACCATTACAGCATTCAAAAGTCTTGAGGATTATTAAGATGTTCTTTTGGTAACATCTTTCTGATCTCCTTGATCAGCAGTGGTTTTTAACATGTTACTCTTGTGTGAATCCTCTTTTTACTTAGTTTATCCCTTTTCATTGAATAATGAAACCTGATCTTAAGGCAAATGAAGTCTGCAGCACTTTAGATGCTATGCATGGCACATGTGACCTCTAGAATGAGTTGTCACGTACTCCTGGTGTAGTCCCTGAATGTTTTTCTTTTTCAATCTGTTAATTGACTCCCTCAGTGTTTTTTTGTTTCAAAGCCTTAGAATAACTGTAATTCCAGACTGATAAATATCAATGCCTGATCTACCTCTGAATTTCATTTGATTAGGACATCCTCTGTCACCTGCTGAGATTTACTTCAGGATTGTTAGACAGATTCAATCTCAAGGGATTTCTTAACTTTACAAATCAGGCAGTGATAAAATCAGCATAGAGAAGGAAATAAATTCAGCTGTCTAACAATGTTAATATTAGGAAGCTCATGATTTATGGGGGCAGTATTACATTAAGTGTGACAGAGAAGCAAAAGATCTTCAAAGAAGCAAACGATGGATTAATTAACTATTTTAATACATGCTGGCTAAAGTTCCTTCTTTAACTGTGGATCTGATCATTTCTCAAATATAGTGTTTTATCTAGCCCTAACATGAGCCTAAAAGCTGAAGTCTTACAATGGGTTATCTTGTAAACACAAACAGAATATCTAAATCTGGTAAATATTTATGCTTTATTGTGTTGTGACTCTGCACTGCACGTTTTGGCGTGTTAAATCCCATCCCAGCAGTCTGTTTACCTCATAGCACATGTAGAAGGACAAATAGGTGACTCCCAGATTGTAGAGCACCATGAGGGCTCTGCAGGAATATGGTTGCCTGTGCTTCATGTACTTGGGCCCCAGCCACACAACCAGGAGGTACATGACTGTGAGTGCAAAGGTTGGTAGGTAATTGTCGAGCAGGAGCATTCCCCGAACCCGCTTATCTGAAATATTGAGATAAAGAGGAAAGTGAGTGAGATGAATCACAGGAGAAAGGTTAATAAGCGAAAAAGAAGAGAGGAATCCTTTCATTGAACTTTAAAAGAACATGGATCCTTTCCCAACATCCTCTTACCTCTAGGACCCATCCATGTTTCAAAGTAGGTGTTTAGTTTGTGATTTAAGGTCTCCATTTTTATACCTATAAACAGAATGGGGAGATAAAATAATAATGAGATATATTAACATCATAGAAATAAACGATTAAAAACTACAACATGACACAAAACTGAAGTTAACACAAAAGTTGTACAATGACGTCCTGCTGTTACAGTGTTCAGTTCCACGTTAGAAGAGCATTGCTCAAAGAGGTCCCACTGCTCTGGTGTGAGAATCTCTTGGCGAGGCAATTATAAGACATGCACTCAATATCTGCTCTTTAGAGAGTAGTAAGATAGAAGTCATTGCTGAAAGTAAGCAGCAAGAAACGATTAACGTTTAATTCTGTCTCTATATACAGTTAACAAGTGGCTAATCTACATCATGAACTTTTACACCACGCATCACCCTAAGAAAAGCCCCCTCACAGTGAAGCAAGGCAGAGGTGGCATCATGGAGATTTTATTTTTAACTAGGGAAAAACAAGCTGATCTGAGCTGACAGGGAGAAAGAGGGAGATACACATTGATTTAATTGCAGCAATAGATTATTATACATAGAACTGTCCCTGTTGTGATTAACTATGCCACAGTTTTCACTTTTTTATTCATTCTATTACATCCGTGAGGCAGACATCCTGTCTACTTTTAAGGGTAGGCTTAAAATGTTCTTTTTTTTCTCTGAGCTATCTCTATAGTTATGCTGCTATAGGCTTAGACTTCTGGAGGACATAGGGACCTCTATTTCATCATTCTGTTTCATTCTGTCACTATTCTCCAACTCTTAGTTCAATCTCTAATGTTATGCTCTCTCTGCTTTTTCTCGTAGTAGCTTTGCCTTGTCTGTTCCTGTTTGGATGTGACAAATATCAACTGTGCTGCTGCCATCAACACCTTTGCTTATAGATGATTGAGATCGGCCTGTTTTCCAGTGTAGTCCTGTTTCTCTGACTGTGACTGGCTGGATGTGCTCTCTTCATTCTCTGACATTGGAGCTGGCTCAGAGCTCGTCTGCCTGGCTGTGTGTTTCCTGGACGGGGCCGCCTTTTACAGCTGCTTTTTGTATCTCTGCTTCTGCCTCCTTGAACCCCAGTTGGCCTCGGCAGATGGCCGCTCACACTGAGCCTGGTTCTGCTGGAGGTTTCTTCCTGTTAAAAGGGAGTTTTTCCTCTCCACTGTCGCTACAAGCATGCTTAGTGTGAGGGATTGCCTTCTAGTCAATGAGTTGATGCAATCAACTGGTTTTCCTTAGATAGAAAACTTTGAATCACTTTGATTGTATGATCTGGTGAACTGTAAAGTGCCTTGAGATGACATGTGTTGTGAATTGGCGCTATATAAATAAACTGAATTGAATTAAATTCATTAAAATATAAAAAAGCAGATTCGACCTTATGTTCTCTTATTACAATCCGACCACATAAGGAAGTTTTTGTTTTTTAGGGCCCCTTAATATCCCTCCTCTACCTAAATTATATTAAAAAAGCTAAAGTGACAATAATGTTGGAAATTCTCCTATAGAGAACCATTTTAATTTATCACAAGTTTTTAATTTAGCAACTCATAAGAAAGCATGGATGTATACAAAGACTGATTGTCAAAACAAAGCTCACTCAATGGCATTTAGGGATGATGGCAATCAGAGGGTTCACACTGTGCCTTGCTTCAACTGTAATTCAGCTGAGCTTATCAAAGCCAATGGCCAGAGTGTCAAATACAGTATATAGTTGACCTTTAGTTCTATTGCTCTTTGAACTGTCTTAAATAAAGGTCTATGCTCTGTAATTTACCAGCAACAGTCAGTAGATTCTATGAATTAAGCGTTATGCTACAGTAAGACTCTCGGCCTGTCATAATGACATCAAAGAAAGTTCTATTAATATCTGTTTCTCAACTTTATCTTAAGGTCCCTGATCTAAATGAAAGATATTGAATGAATTTAACCTTTGACAAATCCTACGGATTAAAGAACATAAACAGCTAGATTAAATACAATTTTACCTTTATTATAAAATATCAACAAGACTGTTATGCTGCAGCAGAGAGAAAGTCTGAGTGAATCAATTAAGAAAACAAACTTGAACCATAATTGCTCCAGAATTGTGTTTCCAGCATGTTTTCTCATTTGCAACATCCTGCTGTAAATATAAAGCTTTCAATTAGAAATAATTATATAGCCTCCACTCTTTAAGACTTTATTGAAATGCATTAAAGGGATCAAACACATCACAAACAGCTGCATCCCTCACAGTCTAAACACCTGCATCTTCATCTGCAAGCATACCAGGAAACACTGCATGCTCACTGCAAAGCTTATTATCCTTTGTGAAAGTTTTAGGTGCTGGGTGCTAGCATGCGTTTTATTTGGGTAAAAAGGTCAGATATACTTCTGTATAATATAAATGCAAACCAGTGAAAAGTTAGCAGGATAACCTCAAAATGTTCTGAAAAAAAAGGAAGCAAAATTTTCCGATGCACCTATGAAAGCCTTTTTTAAAATAAAATATGTAAAAATAATCTGTGGGGTTTTTATGCTTTATTAATCACTTTGGTTTGTATTTTGATTAACTTCTGCAAAGAAGTCAAAAGCTTTAGCTTTTAGTTTATTTGGATTGTGTTGTGTCTGGTCTTTGTGTCTTTGTATGCCTGTATGTCATTATTTGTAATAATATCTCAGCTTCTGATGGTTGTTCTCAAAGGGTTACCATGCCACATATTGCCTCCCAAACAGTCCTAAACAGGTAACTTCTTAAATTCCCTGTCAGATCCTTCCTTCCTTCTTCCTTCTTTTTAAATAAATCCTCACATTTCTTTTTATTACAGTGCTTTTTGTGGCCTTCCACCACAAACACTACAGGTATGTCAGTAAGATGGGGCACAAAGGCACAAGAAATACCATTAACGCACATTTTTTAAAATTCCATTTCTTTCTATGTTATTACCTTATTAGAATGTGTGTTTTTATTTGATTTGACAAGACCCCACATTTGAAAGCTTTCAGACCCAGTCCAAACTTTGGGAACTATTGATACAAGACAACAACATCAACAATGCTTTCTAAGGAATGCTGCTACAATATTTTTTTTTTATTGACTTAAAATACAACAAGAAACCAAACTAATTAATTAATCAATTAATACATAAAAAATAATTTTGTGGAACGTGGAGCACTCCAGATTAAGTTTAGCTCCTACTTTTGGGAGGAAGAGCTTATCTCTCAAAGCAAGCTAAAAGAAGCACTCTTTGGTTTTCAATAGTTGTGATGTGTCTTCAGATAATGGATCATGTAAACACTTGATTCATGGTGTCACTGAGGATTGAACGTGCATGACAGTGACTAGACGAGTCATGTTAGTTTGTCTGGTGAGACTGGACGGTGGATGGAGAAGCATATTAGCACTCTGCTTGATGCTTAGGTTAAGGTTTAACTTTCTCTCTGCAGTCTGGATGCAGCCCTTGCCTACAGGACAACCAGCAATAACCTCCTTCTAGATCGTTGTGGACAAACTCAAAGTGTTATACTAAAGACTGGTGTATTTCTCTTGACCTTTGGCTTATTTTTGCCAGTTCTGTTTATATAAGCAGAACATTCTTGCTCTCTCATAGTTGTAAACTGAAGGCAAAACAGAAAATATATCATAAGTCTGTCGGCATTTGTCAGTTTTATGCAGAGTGACCATAAAAAACACAGACAGGTCGGACTGCCAAAACGAACCAAAACCAAAGCTGACCATAGTGTACTACAGGGTGCAGATTGTGTGAAAGCTAAAACTGGCTAATTTCAATGTAACAAACACATCAATCCTTCCAAATCACTAAACTGGATACTCTACATAAATTAGCATTTTTTGATTTTATTATTTTCTCCAGTAACAACCTGAAAAACAAAGAGACCATTAGTATTTGAGCCCATTTACTATGAAACCCTATTTAAAATCATTTGCACACAACTCCTTCAGAGCTAAACTAATTAGTGAATAGAGGAAAAACCACAACATGTTTAGGGATAAGACGGTAGAGATGTTTACAGCAGAGCTGAGTTTATAAAACAACATTGCTTCTCTACCTGAACCAACAAACTGGGTAATAACAGCACTAATCAGAGGAGCAGCCAAGGAATGGTCAAGATTGACGCTGGAGGAGCTGAAGAGATCAGGTGGAAGATTCTGTTGATGTGACAACTGTAGCAGGAGAAAGATGTTCATAGAAAAACCATGAGAAAAGGCAGGAGGATGATGAAGATCCTGATGTGTGGATGCACACACACGCAAAAGAACAAAGAAAAAAAAAAACATAAAAACTAACAAACTGGTCAGAGTAGATGGAAAATACTGGAAAATCGGACGAAAGATTGAAACTTTCCAGTAGGTTAACAACACTTTACATACGTATGCATGTTTTCCAGCCCAAAAAATGTTCATAAAAGTCCTGGGTATAGGAAATCTCGCCCAATATGAACCAAAGTCTATTGATCTCTTAGGCCATAAATCTAAAGAAAAACATTTTTTACCTATAGACGGCCATCCTAAACTGCCAGATTGGGAAACATCCCAACCTGGCAACAATGCACGTAAGACGGGAAACATTAGCCTGTAGATGCAAAACGCCATCATGCACCGCAACATATTTTTGCTAAATATTTGAAGATTAATTCACCAAATATTAGAGGAACATCGTAGCTTGGTTTGAAGAAAGCATTTTAGTTTTATAATAATTTAATTTGTTGCAAATGTTTTACAGTTTTGAGGAAATAGGATTTAACGGTTGAAGAAATAGAAAATTACACCATATGCCAACCTTCAAAAGGATGTGCATGACAAGGAAGGGCTATACATACTGCATGCATCATTTAGGTAGGTAACATTGTACTACTTCCTGAGCTCCATGCAATGGCGTAACTATCGGTAAGCAGAGTATGCAGTTGCTTAGGGGCCCCTGACCTCTTAGGGGCCCCGTCACTGACACCTGGTAGGCCCCCTACGCAATTGTGGACTTGAACATCTCTTTGCAAACGTAATGGTGCGAAAAATTCGTCTTAAACCCACCTGATACT